TACGAGCATAATATGGATAAGCATCAAAAACGATCGTTGCTGAACCTGATTCGAGAAGGAATTCTGACAGATGAAAGTTTCATCAACATTACAGACTCCTCTACACCTGAGCGAGTGCAGGTCAGTGAATTAGAGAGCACCTTCCATTATGGTAAACTATTTGGAGTTATCCACAAGTGAAAACCCTTTCAGGTTCCAATTCCGCGGATCGTTGAAGCAATGAAAACAGGGGAACGAAAAATGCTAAGCATGCATAACAATAAACCACTTACTCTACGGATATTCTACGCTAAACACTACTCTTCGGCCAGTTTTGAAGAACCAACATAAGGCTGGTGAGTGACAAAACTTGGAAGGTCAAGGCTTGATGTTTACCAGCCTTGGCGCTGTTCCACTTAGGACCAGGGCATTTCCCTAGGTTACCAATTTTCTCACTAGTTCCTCTTATTCCTTCACCTTGGGGAGGTTCATAGAGTCTTGTCAAATGTAAACGAAGCACGTGCTCCTACATAGTTCTTCATCAGCTTACAAGTGTCCTCAGGGGACGTCGGCCCTGACCGATGGACTTGAACTACCCTTAAGCCGGACTGCAAGACCAGTCCCCCTTTTTTTGATCGAGCCCTCTATTTCCACTCGTACTCGTAGAAGCAAGGTGATTTGGCTTTTTCGGTGCTTTTTAGGACCACCCGATGTAGGAGTCAGTGTTTTTATCTCCGCAGAATAGTTTGGCTCCAATCAAGCAACCCTAATGGGATGGAAAGCCTTATTGACCAAGGTGGAGCTACCACGATTTGAAGACAACCTTATACTCAGCTCTAAGGGAAGTTCTTCCCGTGTGCGAGGAAAATGCCCGCGGCTGCAGTGGCTTGTCACTTTCTCCGCTCAAAAGTGCACGAGAACGGGGTTGTAGGGTACCGGACCCTCAGTGTGCAGTGATGCTTCGGTGCCAAGTGAGAATAACCCGGAAAGTCAGAGGGTAAGACAAGTAGTGCATTTGAGTGCATTCAGCTAGGGTTGGGCAGGTGGATGGCCGTGCGGCAGCGCGGGTAGATTTCGGAAACGGCACCTAGATTTCTTTACTTTCCAGCCCTCTTTCTTGCGCACTTTTGAGTGGAGAAAAGGGCACGCTGTTGCAGATGCTCCCATTGCACATGGCAAGGATCAGTATCCACGGAGCTGAGTGCACAGTTTGCACCACGTTTACGGAATGCAAGCATAAGCTAAGCTTAGGAGAACAGGTAGGATACAGTACCCTGGAAAACGCACGTGAAATCAAATGTGTCGGCCCCGTGAATGCGCACAACTGGGCATGCTGGGAGCAGGTTTAGTCAGCAGGCTCAGAAGCACTTTTATCAGCCTTTGTCGTGCACTTTTTATGGAGGCTGCTTTACCACTGACCCGAACTTTTCTGCGCGCTCGCGCGGCAGGGGTGGAGGAAGCCTCGGAGCCAAGAAAGGAGAGCGACGCATACACCGCTCCACCTATGGCCAGGTTTTCCTGCGCGAAAACTACTGTGTCCACTCGATGCTCCTTGACACTTTACGCGCTCTGCAAGAAACTCTGTCCTGCTCGTGAAGTTATAACTTGACCCGCGGGATGACCAGTGCTTCACCATTCATCTACCCACGGTGAATAGTATAACCAAATGACTCCATCACTAAATTTCGTAGTCTCTCTGTCCCCTTTTTCTTTACTTTTTCAAATACTGTCTAAGTTGTGTGACTACAGCCGTCATTCGGGGAGTTGATTAGGCGGTCGGCGAAGGGTCGCAGACGTAGCGTAGCCAGGGCACGCCATCGTTGCGACGCCATCGTTGTGATGATCACAACGGGGGTCGTATTTGGTAACTACTATTTCAGCTAGTTGAAAATGATAGTTAATTCCTAGTGACCCCCACCCCCCGCCCCCCGGTCGACAGCAAAATTTTGGGAAAAACCAGAAATTTCTAGGGAAATTTCGGGAAAACCGGGGAACACACAAGAAATCGAATTTACCTGTCTCACACCGGGTATATTTCCCCCTCCGCTCGACGGACAATTCTTGGTTGAAGAACTGGAAGATTTTCTGGGATATACTGGAAAAAGAAAGAAAAAGTGGTAGGAAATTGGGAAAATCTAGGAAACTGGTAGGTAACATGGGGAGATGGGGTCGTATTCGAGGAGGGAATTAGGAGGGGTATATTCTTCAGGAAATGGTCACAATGCGATGGCTTGCCCTGGCTGCAGCAGCAACCGTGTACGCCGGAACTGTTGGCGGCGATCAGCTGTTTCCGGCCTGGTTTGGTCATTTTCTCCCTACTTTTTACTGCTTTTGGCTGCATTTCTTATGTTTAGTTTTTCCTGGTCTACGCAGAGTAAATTATAATTGAGGTTCTTGTAAATTTTGCGAACAGTTGAACAATTAAACAAATATCTCAAGAAATCACAAATACACTTCATAAAACGAAGAAAGAGTCCACGTCCTAATATACTTCACAAAGACAATAACACAACTTGCCTTAAAAAAAAGAAAATACAGTTAATTTTTAGTGTAATCCCTTGTCAAAGAGCTAGCTCACTTATAAATAAAACTAACAGCGAGTGGCATCGTTCCGCTCATGTGGTGGTGGACTGGCCTCTGAGGACGACGATCCTGTCGAAACGTCAGGCCATTTCAATAAAGTCTTCCACCTACCAACCTCTTTGGCAGAACAAATTACAACTTAAAAGTTCACAATAATGCCGAGGTTTTATGAAGAGAGAAGCTGGACAGTAGAAAATGCAGTGAAAATTAGGGGAAAAAGGCTTAACCAGGCTGGAAACAGCTGCGCCGCGGTCGTGACGCGCCGCAGCCGCGTCTTTGACCGGCTAATCAACTGCCTGGATAGCGACTGTAGTTTGTGTTGAGCTTAACACCATTTTCCCCTTCAGATCTCGATGTACGATCACTTTCTGCTGGTCGATTCACTATGCCTGTATGGTATTCGGTTATGTTTCTAATTATGACATTGGGCACATTTGGATCGCATATTTGGTGTCAAATAACAAATTATGCGGATATGCAGGATAGCCTTTCATTAACCCTACCAACTATTATTTTGGTAGTGTCAAGGTTAGCTTTCAGTTTCTGGTTCTTCAGGATGCTAAAAGAGAGTTCCCCGCTCAAGCAGCTCATAGGCGTGCTTCCTATGTAGTTCAAGTCTGGCTCTCAGCCTCATAGATTATGTCACTTCAGCGGCTTCACATTAGGTGACGAGGCGCTGTGGCCATAAGTGGCAGTTCTGACGCCCTCCCGCCCCCTCCCCCTAGTCGCTCCGCCTACCAGAACGCAACGCTATTCTCTGTCGCGAAATCAATTTTCCCGTGCTTTCCGTTTTTTTACAATTGTCAGATGGTATTAACATTGAATTAAACAAAGAAACGACTAATGTGGCTTCTGCCAGAGGGGCTGCTGCCATTAGCGGGGCTGTTGCCAGTAGCCAGAGGCTTCTGGATATCGCTTTACTGGCATAAAATGAGAATGTCCAGAGAACTCGTCCAGAGAGGCTGCCAGTTCCTTATTCAGGATGTACACCACGACGTTTTTGGTTCTCTTCTTCCCAAAGGGTCTCTTAGCGTCCATGGGTTTGCAATCGAATGCCACGATCCACAAAGAAGCAGGGTTTCTCTTCAAGGCAATGAGCAGAACGGCCCTTGCGGGCAGTTGCTGCCCAAGTCACTGGCGAACGGGCCGCGGAAGGGCGTTTGACCACACCTCACTCAGCCCTTCCACCAATGATTTCGGCCATACGCCCTGCCCCAGCAATCATACCCACTGCCTTTGAAAAATGTAAATCCCTACCTGGCAATCTATGTCTTCTTTCGTAGAACGGCCATACAATCTTCTTACAGTGGTGCTGAAGGAAAGGGAGGGGGAGGAGCGACCAGAAACAAACATTACCCATTGCGCTCATCTGAAAAATTCACGTCGCACGGGCCTTAAGAGGACCAATGAAGACCCGAATGATATATTCTCGAGACCTGCCTCGATAACAAGTGAATTGCGCTTTCCTACCAACAAATACAGTACACCCTATTTCAACATTGAGTTCGAATACCATATGGCTGATAACATCCCAATCAATGAAGGCGGTGTCAGGAGGAGCGAAATGAGTCGGCCTTAGGCTTTCTCGATCCACCAATGGTGACCGGTTAGTGATCGATTTAGGAAGGATACAACCATTGGTACAGATGCCGCGGGTAGGCTCACTCCATCCCACCTGAAACCACCGCCCCCATTGATTGCGGCTAAATCTTCTGTGACTCTTGATTTACGTAGCATAAGGCGACGGAGTGGTTTTGATCTCACTTTTCAGTGGGCATCGTGTTAGTGTGTGCTTACAATTATGTGTAATTTAGCTTATTGATCGGCCTTCTACTTTATCTTACTATTTATATGGTGGGCTTTTTGTGTTGCTGCGAGAACAACTTCACTAACAAAGGCCTTGTTACAGCCGATCTTGACTACTCAGCAATATACGTGCATTTCTGGTTAGTTGTATTTACTGTATAGTACTCTTTGGGTGTAACTTATGGCGTGGCACAGCGCTCAAACCAACCTCTTAGCTATTTCACTCTACATACACTCCATATCCCAGAAGTGAAGGGACCCTTAAGAAATGAGCACAGTTGTAGCAAATTACTCACGAACAGCGCTTCCTATGCCATGTTCGAGTGCAGTATACAGCTACGCCCACTCCATCGCTGGGATGTGCGGTGCATGTACAGTTCATGTACAGTTATTATCCTTGCAAGCGAGAGAGTGGATGTGAGGCAATGTGGACTGCAGCACAGCCTCTTCACAAGTTGATATCTGTGCCCGCAATAATTGTTGATGGAGACTGCTCTGGCTGCTGCACTCCACGCCCCCCTGACACGCCCTCTCATTTGTAGGGATAGCCCTTCAGCCCCAAGTCAAACAGGGCGTGGAGCCCAGTCCTGTAGAAGTCTGTGATATTAACGGCAGTAGAATCAATTACACTGGTGTGCAAAACTTATGG